TGGAAGGCGCCTGCCTTTCTGCACGGCAACATCCTGCAACTGAGCATAACTGAGGCTGCAGCGGCAGGCACAAGCACTCGTTTGTCGGCGACATCACTCATAGCACGAGCTGCCGTCGCGCGCAGCAAAACGTCCTCGCCACGCTACCATGCACAGAAGCACGAAGCGACAAGAACATAATGACATACAACAACCCAAACCAAAAGGTCCTGGATTGGTGAAGGCTCCCCACTCGAAGCTGCAGCATCCTGCCCACAAAGGTCAACAGCAGCAATCGTAGGCCCTATGTTTTCCAGGCAACAGCAAGCCTCCTGCGGCGGATTCGCTGTGGACAAGGCATCAAGATTCTGCGCACGGTCCTCCTCCAGTGGCAGGACATGGCAGGACAAGATAGGAAAAGCCACATTTTTCGCACCAGCCATGCCGCAAAACAAACATGTCCTAGATGGTCACGGCTTCTCCAACAGCAGGAGCAGGATCCTGCACGCAAGGGCCAGCAACAGGCATCATGGCTCCGATCTACTGGAAGATACTGGAAGCTATCCTCCGTCGGATCTTATAGGACTATATGGCATACGATGTCATGTACAAGGCAACACAAGGAGCCTCCGTTGCAGGCATTGGAGCTTGGGACGCCCCAGAGTCCTGCCAGTGGCAGCGTGTACAGCTCACTCGTACATATTCAAAGCCCAGATTGACGCCATTCAAACATCGGCTAACTATGCTGGCCCTGGCGCTGCACTGCAACGTGATGGCTGGCACGCGCTTTCCCCCCAGCAGTGAACTGCTGCATGTCCTGGGCTTTGCTTCAAGCACCGCATCCAACAAACCGACCCTACTCTGCAATCATGTCTGCACATCTGTCTGAAGCCATGCCAAGCCGCACAGGTGCAGACCCAAACCTCCCATCGCTTGTTAAAGATCGGTGCAAGCATGTTGGCGGCACCTGAAAGGCATTACGTCTTGCCACCCCATGGAAGGTGCTACGGTTGCCCACGGACAACCCCCAACCTGCAAACGCCTCAACAAATCCCGCATGTAAGCGATGGTAAGCGCATCCCAGGCGCAGGTACCAATTCTGCATGTTTGTGGAGCGCCAGACGGCGCGGCATTGGACACAGATCTAGCCACGCCAACCCCAGCGATGGCTCAACCCCTCTACTTTGCCACGATACGCGGCGATCGTTGTAAGTGCCAGAGCGGATAGAATGATGGCCTGCGCCTTTGCTCTGCGTTGAACAGACATTACATACCATAATATAATATAATATAATATACCATACCATACCATTACATATTACATCATATTACATACCATTCACCAGCCATCGTTTACCTTGAGATGCATACCTTGAGATATCTTGAACACGACATGGATCAGGAATGATCAGGACACGCGAAGATCCGGGTACCATGTCTGCGCGTGTCTGCACATGTCTGCACGCAAGTGGCTCTATCAAGAGCAGGCAGTATGTGATTCCAGACCGCTCCCCCATGTCATCCCGTTGTGCCTTGTAGACTCGTATGTGGCTGCAGGCTGTTGCTTCTTCTGGCCTCAGAGAATCTCAGATCCATCTGCGCTAGCCCATCCTAGAACACCATGGATGCAGCCCCGTGAGCACCAGAATATACCAGAATCTAGCAGACGCTAGCAGACTGCATCAAAGCAACTCCGCGACAGCCAAGATTTTTAGGCTCCGTTTTCCACTTGCACACAGAATCACACAGACATACACAGACACACGACATCCAGCAATCCCGATCGTGTACACTTCGTGTACCTATGTGCACCTCATACGTTGTCACGAGAGGCTGGGTCCCAGCGGTCTACCAATGTCTCAGCCTGAGCCAGGCCAACAAGGGGAAGGAGCCTGACAAAGAGTCTCTCGAGTATATTCTGCGACATTGCGTTTCCCAGCATTCGCCCCATGGCCAGCTCGGAAACAACGACAGGTGTCTCGTCATTCATCCCACGCAGCCTCATCATCTCTTGCACGGACATGCGCCTATTGCGCCTGTGCAACCAGTACCCATGCGGTCTTGACCTGAGCAGACACGGGCTCTGGTTCACCATGAAATGAATGTATGACAAAGAACCGTCGATGTCGCAGACCACTTCTTGCTGCGCCGGGATTTGCGCCCTCTCGATTCTGCTGCGTAACAAACACAATGCCCTGGCAGCACTTGATTGCCTCACTACACAAGGCTCTGCCGAGCCATCCAACACCGCGGATGAAGACTGAGGTTCGAGGAAAGAATCCAAAGAAGGGCATGTCACCGGCTCCAGCCAACAAAAAACCGATCCTGTGACCACTGCATCCTCTCTCAAGCCGATGAAATAAACACGTGGCCTGTTCTGACACACTCCATGATCTCGAGTGTTGAGGAGCTTCCAGTGCACCTGGTAGGCGGAGCCCTGCGGAGTTCGGATGTTCTGCAACCTGTCCAAAATGGTCGCCGTCGTGCGGCCACCGTCGTTGGACAGTATGCCTTCAACATTTTCAAGCAGGTAGAAGGATGGACCATGGAGTTCAATGTAGGAGGCTACATGTGCAAATACATTTCCACGCTCATCTGCAAAACCGCCTCCCCTGCCAGCCCTGGAAAAGGGCTGGCAGGGGAAGCCCGCCACGTAAATGTCGGAACCCGGTGCTTTCGCGTGATCGCGAAGAGTCAAGTCATGATAAAGCGTTGTCGGCTGAGCAATAGCTCTCAGCTGAGTACGAGCCTCCGCCGATATCTCGGAACTGAAAACATGCGTTATACGCTCAGCAGGAAGCAGCGCAAGCAATGCTTGATATGGGGTCTCAAGGCCACTGCAGTCGGTTGCAAGACGTATAATCGGTTGACCAGCATGAGCGGCCATGCCTACTAGGAGATACTAGGAGTAACACTCAACATCACTCAACACATGCCCTAAGAATTTACTGACCTGTCCTGAAGGGCCCTGAAGAAGACATAAGAAGACTGAAGAATCACAGCACTGGGATGCACTTGAGGGAGGTCAGCACATGTCAGCACGAATCAGCACACAAAAGGGTTGCTCATGGTTGTTCTCAAAATTATGGCCCATGGTGGTTCTAGATTATATTACAGCGCCTGATTATCAGAGTACCCAGGAGATACCAAAATGAAATGAGACATAATGGAGCCATATGGGACCCTAATTTTGGGAACTGCCGCAATCACAGCTTCAGACAGGAGAGGAACATAGAGGAACGCAGCTGCCAAGAGGTCTGAGGCATCCGCACCAAGATCAACGAAGCGATCTGGACCTGAGTCCAGCCAGATCAATGTCGTCAGCTTGGCAAAATCAAGGACCAGACAGGAGAGGTTCGCAGCTGCCAGCAGGTCTGAGGTGTCCGCACATGTCCACCGAAATGATCTGGACCTGAGTCCGGGCATGTCCGGGCAGATATGGGCAGATCAACATCATCGGCAGAACCAAGGACCACAAATGACCAGAACACACCAGAACTTCTGAGGCAGCAGCAGTCTCCAGTCCATCTCCAGCACACAAGACCTGAGCAACGGGCAGAGTCAAAACATGGCACACGCGCACATGATCGCAAATATCAAACATCAAGTCACTTGGCAAGCCCACGCAAGCCCTCTGTTTTCACTCCACTCGTGCCATTCACGCCTGCAGCGCAGCAGGTATGGTGCCGTCAGGCATGTCAAGCCATGTCAAGCCTATAGTCCCTCTTAAGTAGATAGAATATGGCTTTGGGTAGATTATAATCAGATGATATCAGATGACATCAGATGACCAATGATCACCATGTACCCCATATATCCCCATATTCTGTCTACTTAAGGGGGACTGCACACCTATTCACGCGTTCCGGCCAAGATCGCGCCGCATGTTCTCGGTGAGCCGCATCTGCTTCTCCTGCTCGAGCTCCATCTCCAATTCTGCGTTCCGGGTTCTCTTCCGCCGCACCTCTGCTTCGAGAGCTGCAACCCTCGCCTTCAAGCCCGTGCACTGCACATTCAGCTCCATGTTGGCTCTCTGGTAGAACTGCGCAGGGAATCCAAGATAATCCAAGCGAAAGGGTCAGTATGGGTTTATATATGGGTCAGTCGGGTCAGCAGATACAGGTAGAGGCACTGCGTTAACGAAGAAGCCAGAGAAAAACATTCATGACATGAAGTGAAGTCCAGGCACCTCAAAATCGGCTGACTTGGCATCAAGCTTTGCCTTGGTATTGGCCACAGCATTTCTCTTCGCCTCCTCTGCGACAGTCCTGATCTTGTCCTCCAGCATAATGGCACGAGTACGCTCCTCCAGCAACATGGCACGCGTCTCCATGAGCACCTGGCACTCGTCCCTCTTCTTCCTGGCGTGGCCCAACAACCTGAAGGCATTGGCCCTGTCATGCTGCTTTCTCTTGCCCATGTCATCATGAAGCCTGAGTACGAGTAAGTCCACCAGAAGAAGCAGGCAGCAAAAAAACGATTAAAAAAGAGTACAATCACAGGAACAAGCGACATTGCGGACTGGTGGTCAAGCTCTGCTGCAGGTGTGTCATGATCCGCCTGCGCTGGCGGTGCTTGAGGACGGCTCTTCCTAGGACGCTCAGGATCAGGCATGAGCACTAAATACACTAAGAAAGAATGCCACATAATTCCACAATATGCCAAACTCGCACAGGCCACCGCCACTCAGCGAAATCTTTGTTGCTCCCATAGGCACGCCCTCGGCCAGAGCCGCCGCCACCACGATCACCGCGCCCAGCCATTTCCAGGAGTTCAAGGATTTGCCCACAGCCGCGATGATAAAGAAGACGGATGAGGACGGCAATATAAGCCAATCAAGATAAGGTGTTGAATCGACCGGAGATACCGGAGCAATATGCCCAAATCAAGATAAAGCGCGCTTTAAAGGAACGTCGGTCGTGGACAGTACCAATAAAGAAAAGCGATTGCCGAAGCCAAAGAATCCAAGCAAGAGCGATATGCGACGCGCGAGTCCACCACGGCAGCGTACGTACACGGACGGCTATGGCTGACTTGCTATACAAGATTATACAAGTATGTCACCCGAAGCCTTGGAAGCTTGCTCTGCCCTGAATGAACAAATCCCGAAAGCATCCGAAACCTGAAATTCTCTGACATGTCCTGACATATCTCATATCTCAGAACAGTGGACCAAGACGCTGCAGGGATGCAACAGCTGATACGCTCGAGCAAGCGCCATGTCACAGTGCTACAATTTTATGTCACATCTCCAGGAGAATCAGAATTGGATGAGAAAAAATCGCAATGGTTGGAACATGTTGGAACTTTGGGTTTAAGGTGCATGTTTTAGGGTCTAGGGTTTCGGGTATCGGGTCGAGGATTTAGGGTCCAGGGTTTGGGCTTTAGGAAGGGCATGGGAGGGCCATGAACCGCGCAACCCTTTCTCATCACATCCCTTTCATGTGGCAAGTGAGGCTCGGGCATTCTGATCCAAAGGCTCGAAATGGCTCGAAGAAGCTGCCGTAGATCGCACCGCCTGCGCAATTAGCTTTGAGTCTCTGGATGTCTCTGGGACAGAGATGCATGGAACATCACGCACCAAACTGCCTTAAACTGCCCCAACATGCCCCAACCGTCCCCAGCCACCTTGCGTACCTGACATCCTGTCTCCTCCTGTTCGGAGGGCTTACAATGGCTCATCCCGTCTAGCAAGGGAAGGATGGGAAGGCGACGAGGGATGGGGATGACCGACTAGACCATTCACTTGCGTCGGCACTCGCCACCTGTCTGCTCCTGTTCGGAGGGCAAGCAACCCTCACCTCCTGATCGGAGGGCAAGCAACCCTCACCTCCTGATCGGAGAGCCTGTCCTCCTGCACGGAGGGCTTTCTTAACGTCCTCCCTCCTGTTCGGAGGGCGAGCATGGCGCGTCCCCTGTCGACTCCTGCTCGGAGCGCGGCGCAGATCTGCAAAAATCCCCTCTTACTCAGAGGGTGGGGCTTCTGCTGCTTCCGCTGCCCTAGGCTGCTTCCGCCTTCCGCATTCTTCCGCTGCCCTTGCCCTTGGCCTCCCCGGCCCGAACCCGAGATTAAATCATCATGTTGACAGAACTCAACTCTGAGATACTCTGAGCGGCGTGCCTTCATATCCTCCTCGACGGCAGCTTCCACACGGGCCTCGAGACAAGGCATGAGATGGCATGAGGATGCGTCATTATTTCACGCCACAGGACGTCAAGGTAGACTGAGGGCAAGGCGGGATATGCAGAGATGAGGTTCGATGAGCAGCACATAGGATTGCGGGAAGCAGGCGAGAGGGATTACATGCGATTATATGGGATTATCAAGGGCATTCAAGGACGCAAGCAAAATGTTTCCATTTGAGGGGGCCACGTGTTTTGGAAACATATTCCCCCTCCCCCCTAATGTTTCCACAAGAGCCCGGATACAGACGCAGCCCCCCCCCTGGAAACAATATTTAAGGAAGGGTCATTTGCAAACGTAGTCATGACATGATGTTTTTCGCGTACGCATGAACTGCTAAAAAAAAAGCGACGGGGTTGAGGGAGTGCAGCCCACCGCCATGTGCAAACAAAGTGATCTGCGCCATCGCATGGGATTCCCGCAAACCAATAAAAACTAGAATACATGATATTGTTCACGGCAAGCATAGATTGCTAAACAAAAGCAGGCAGGGTTGGGGTGGTACCCCAAGAAACCCATCAGAGTTTCTCCATGACAAACAGTACAAGCTTCCGGAGCAGGTATTTAAGGCAAACGGCCATGACCCGATTAAGAGTGTAGTCTTGAACACGGGGTATAAGGACCGCGTTCAGATCACAGGCCGTAGACGAGGTGGCAAAATACCTCATTGCGTTGAGAAAGATTTTTCAAGGAGCATTGGGACCATAACTTGGGCAGAGGAGTACTAAGAGCAAATACAATGTATGCATCCATATCAAAAGCGGTTAGATCTTCTTCTGGGCATGCGCCAATGCGCCCCCGAAGCTTGCGCGCACGGCACTCGCAAAACTTTATGGGTTTAGGACTGGGTCTCAGACTCTAAAATCCACATGCGGCCTACTCTGCTCCTTTCATTTCATCCCTTAGACACTTGGTTGGGGAACACCTAAGTACCCAAGTTAAGACCATGTAACATCTTACAAGCGCGCAGACCTCAAATCCGAAAAAATCCACAAAACCTTCCTTCGCTGCAAACGTCGTGACAACATGCTGTTGTTTGCGGCGCGCGTGAACTGTTAAAACAAAGAGGGGGGTGGGGGGCGCGCACCCCCCCGATCTGCAAACTAAATGATTTGCGTAATAGCATGAGAATTTTTGTCCCCCTCCCGCCCGCCCTGGGTTGGTCACTCGTGCCGACTGCCGCATAAAGAACCGTGGACGCAGGGAGGTGTGCCCCTCATGTGTGTGTTCATGCGTGTGCGCATGCCGACTTACGCAATCCATTCCCCTAAATCCTTTTTGCGGGTCATTTTGTTTGCACCCCCCTGCTTCTTTTGACTCATACATACCGCAAACAACAGCATGTCATAATTACGTTTGCTGCAAGGGATGCTGTGGCGGATCATGTTCTTTGCGAATGGGGGGTCTGCACGCCCCCATTTTTTCCGTTTTTTCAAGCAATCCATGCTTGGGGTGGAAAGCATCATGTCGCTGCTATGTTTACAGTGAAGGAATTCGAGCCACAAAACTGCACGCAACCCATGTCAAGTCTACGCAACAAAACGGAGAAAAAAAAACACAGAAAACAGCGCACCCACGTTCACAGAAAACGTGGAAATAACGAGCTATCTCGCACACGAGAAGGCTGTCTTATTGCAAACATAGCAAAGACATGACGCGTTGCACGGCAAGCATGGGTTCTTTAGATTTGGCAAAACTTCATGTTTAAATATTCACGGTCCATCAAAATATTCTCGCATCCAAATACACGAGAATCATTCATAAAACTTTGCGCAGAGCTTCAACTTCAAATGCAACACACTCTCTTCTTTTTCTTGGCAGCGGACTGCTTGATCTCGGAGAAAGGCTGGAAGTTGCACATTCCACCTTAACCTCCCCCACGCACAGATTCGGTCTCACACGTCCTTGGCTCCGTGGCACTGCATCTAAGAGATTTGCCACAACGGACCCGAACTCACCCAAGGTTGGGAGGGTGGGAAAGGAAATTCACCACTCACCACTGCTACAAATCATCTGAGTAGGCCCGGCGCAAACGCTCGTAAAGCCAGCCAAACACTCAAGCAAATCCATGGTGGAATTTCATGCGCAAAACAAAATCGAAATCCATGTTGGAAAACCATGTCGAAGATTATCGTGAAGTTTTGAAGCTGCTATTTTGCAACTAGCAAATCAAAGACAACTGTATCCCTTACGGGAGGCCGCCGTCTTTAGATTTGTCAAAATTTCATGTTTAAATATTCAAGGTCCATCAAAATATTCTCGCATCCATATATACGAGAACCATTCATAAAACTAGCACAGAACCTCAACTTCAAATGCAACACACTCTCTTTTTCTGGGAAGTGGACTGCTTGGTCTCGGAGAAAGGCTGGAAGTTGCACATACCACCGAAACCTCCCCCCCCCACACATAGGTTTGGCCCCACACGTCCTCGGCGCTGCATCTAAGAGATTTGCCACAACGGACCCGAACTCACCCAAGGTTGGGAGGGTGGGAAAGGAAATTCACCACTCACCACTGCTACAAATCATCTGAGTAGGCCCGGCGCAAACGCTCGTAAAGCCAGCCAAACACTCAAGCAAATCCATGGTGGAATTTCATGCGCAAAACAAAATCGAAATCCATGTTGGAAAACCATGTAATATTCAAGGTCCATCAAAATATTCTCGCATCCATATATACGAGAACCATTCATAAAACTAGCACAGAACCTCAACTTCAAATGCAACACACTCTCTTTTTCTGGGAAGCGGACTGCTTGGTCTCGGGGAAAGGCTGGAAGTTGCACATACCACCGAAACCTCCCCCCCCCACACATAGGTTTGGCCCCACACGTCCTCGGCGCTGCATCTAAGAGATTTGCCACAATGGACCTGAACTCACCCAAGCAAAACGTCCGCTGAACTACACTTCTCTGAAAGCTGGCAGGCGAGCTTTTCAGCGCATAGCAAGAGATCCCAAGGAACGCGATGTTGCTTGCGCTGGTAACGCGCTCGATCCAGGGCACAGAATTATCATCCAGGTCACATTCAAGAAATTGGGCCGCAACTCGAAGAAGAGATCTAGCCGGCTACTGCCCTTGATGACAGCATATCGAATGGACCCATTCTCGCGTAGACGGTCACCAGGCGGTTCTGCAAGAAGGACACGCACACAGGCCGTGCAAGG